CAATTCGGAAAAAAACTTCTGCGAGGCGAATGTGCACCAATGAATCTCACCGCTGGGAAAAGTCATAATTTTGAAAAGCGAAAAGTTCTAGAATTTTGATCTAATCGCGATATTTTTCAGCAAGCGCCTTTCAAAACTTGTTACAGGTTACATCACTGATGTAAAATTAGAATTTTCTGCAGGTTAACGTGTTTCTCCATCATACAACAATCGTCTCTCTCTCTCTCTCTCTCTCTCTCTCTCTCTCTCTCTCTCTTCCTCACTCATTCGAGACAAGAAAAAGGAAGGACAGGAGGCAGTCGAGAAGACAGGGAGACTAAGCCAGCATCTCGCCATTTGGATTTATTTCTGGATGTCCCGAGGACGACGTCACGAACCGACCAGAATAGCGTGCATCTACGTCACGCCTGGGTAACCCCTGCGGCAAATTTCGGAGACAGACGACAAGGTAGCCCGACGAGACGGGCAACACACGAAAGCGTCAGCTGTTCAACCTGTCTCTCGTGGACTTGCGACGAGCAGCGCGTGAACTGTAAGCATCATCTGACCCGGTACATATTGATGCCAAACTGGTCGCTTTAGAATTTAGATTCTATCTAAAATCGCGTGACTAACGAATCTCACCCTTCCACGATAAATCGCGTTAAACAAAAATGGATAATAATACCGTTCGATTATGCAAATTCGAAAACATCTACGATAATAAACGGGACGCGATAAATACGGTTCACCGCTCTTAATTAACGTTCTGCCACGTTTGGCCAGTCCATATTCAAACCGCAAATTGACTTGACGCTGTGTATGAAGATTATTTCTCAAGCTCATTCGTATTCCGTTAACCAGACGTACCGGGTGGCGGTTGGCGTCGTCTCGTTATGTTACGAACGTAATACGAAGGAAACGGAAGAGACGCGCGTAGAACGAGAACGGGAAATGGGAAGACGATGAAGATGAGCAAGGAGATAAGAGAAAGCCATAGAGATGGCATGTCTAAGGTACTTTTCTAGGTGCGCGAGCGCAGCGTTATTCAATTAACGAAGGTTACGCTGCTCGTGGCTTCTACCTTCATTATCTAAACTTCGTCTGCATCTGGTTTTCCTGATTTCCATCCCGAGGATGGTAAGTCTTTTGAAATATCCGCGCAAGCAACTGAAATAAAATTTAAAAAACCACAAGTCACAGCTAATAAAATGCAGATTTTAATGGCAAGCAATAAACGATTAAAAAAACCTTCTAAGGCAATATAATTAATATATATATTCATAATTCCTTAAATTAGAAAAATGTTTACAAATTAACGAATAATAAATTCATTCTAGGCACCACGCGCGCGCGCTACATTAATGTACAATAAAATATAATATGTCTCAATATATCAGTAAAAAATACTTTTCAATGAAATTCTTTTATCGTTGTAAAAAAAATTGTTTTATAGTATAAGAGAAAATAAAGAATGTTAATAGTGTCAAATCGTTTTTATAAAAATTTAAACTTAAAATTTAAAGAGACTATTAACCAAAAAACTATAGAAATATGTCTACACGAAGAGAATTTTCTTTTAAAATTTACTCTGAATATATATATATAGTAGTTGTGGTACAATACAATATTTTAAAGATTTTTGCACCATGCACTTCAGTAAAATTAATCGAACTTATTTTATACTTTATTGTAGTTTTATTAATGAATGAGAGATTTACATTAAAATTCTTCGTTAATAAAATATAATATTGTCCCATGACATCATATTTTCAGGGTAGAAACTAAGAAAAAATTCTCTCCGTGTAGAAACGAGAATTCCGCTTAATTCTAAAACTACCCATTGTACGGAAATTTCTCGACCTTCAACGAAAACGTGCACTAGGCTAACCGGTCTGTAGTACTGCCAAATATTAATTTACGTAACACTGACTTAGATTCGTTCCGAGCAACGAATAAAATAATAGAAACTGAATTTCAAACGGTATTAATTAATAGAGAAATATTAACAGATTTTAGACATTGATTACACATTCCTATAAAAAAGCCGTTAATGAAAGGCTTTCCATTGTAAGTACCACGTCGAAGGTACGAAACAATAAACGTGCATTCCTACGGTTCTCCAATTAATCCGCTAATTCGACGTTCGGAATGGCACATCCCGTATCGTAACGAATTCCACCAAGCCTAACGTGACCTTGCATCTAAATCACGCAGATTGTATTCAAGCATAGAAATTGAGACAGAAGTCGCATAACGACGTCCGCCGCATGCTTGTACTGCAGCCGAATTCTATGTATTGTGGACCCTCGTAAATCTCCGTTGCGAAATGATCAACGAGTTCCACCACACGAGGCATACGACTATTTCATTATTACAGAAGAGACATTTCGACTTCGCTGTACGCGAAATTTTCCAGTTATTCAATCGATCGCGAGATCGTCTAACCGTCAAACCATCAGCACTGAATAGCGTTATGTAACAATGAGTTAAGCTGCAAAAATATTGAATTTAAAAATATTAAGTTAGGCCAAAGAATATTTTGCGTTATTGAATCAGCTGTGCGATTTACTTTTCCCTTTACTTTATTTAGAATTTCGTTCATTTCGCATAATATCGTTCAATTGCAATTGATTAATTAAATTTCCTTGCGTCTCTATTTGTATTACAGTCGAGAAGGAAATGAAATTATAAAATGAAACAAAATAATAAAATATACAATAATAAATGAAAATCGACTGATATGCGAACATGCGAATAACAGTATATACAATTTAGAATAATTTACCCTTCAAATTCCTCGCCATCTCCTGGCTCAGATTTCCCGACATTATTTTCCGCTGCATCATATACATGATGGCCCACACCACAGATATCACTGGCGTCCACATATCGCGCACTGCGTGATTTAATACGCACTTCTATATTCCGTCGAGTCAGTTCATGTTTTATCAAAATATTTTATGTTACATCATATTCAAAGTCAATATAAAATATCTTTTTAATTTCCCAAACCATTAGGTTATTAAAAAGTTTACAATTGTGTGAAAAAAATTACTCTAAAAGTTACTCAAGCCTGACAGAAATGAAGTCATCAACCGATCGTAACGAATAAACAGCTATATAGTATGAGCAGGTCGCTCTAAAAAGAATATCAGTACAAAATATTATCATATATTTATTCAGAAAATTACACTATTATACACACGTGTGCACAAGTGTTATCAAAATGAGTGTTGTTAGCCAATGAATAGCATATTCTTCAATAAATTCAACAAAAATTTATCAACTGTTTTGCGAATAAGATAAAATTAATTAAAAAAATATTTCCTTCTAAAATATGCAATTTCAAAAAAGATACCAATAAGATATTTGATTTTGTGTCCTTACAACAATCACTAAATTTGCACAATTAATCAGTTATAATTTTCATGGTATTCCGTGTCGCTGTGGCAAATCATCTCTCTCATTTTTCACCTCAATTTATAATTCAGGATTCCACGCAATATTACTACTTACTATATATATGTATATACATTCTTAAAATTAACAATAATCCTGGCGATCCGCCCAACCGACTTATATTTATTTGTCGTGCTTACAACACGTGGCGTTTAACGACACGTGATACGTGGAGATTAACACGAACTCCACCGCGCCGATTCTTCACGTCGCGGATGTTGAAGAAAACGAGTCGTTCTCTCCTCACACTCGCCGAGATGAATCTCTACAGGCAGATCAAAGAGTTTTCGCGACTGGAGTATTCGTGAAATGAAAAAAATCGCTTCGATGGTCGACCGGTTAGCGACAAGCATAGGCACGCTTCGAAATTCAACTGCTGCATCTTATCCTAAATTTAGCCTTGCCGGCTGCGTCCTACATTAGAAGAATATGCGCGCGCGCGCGCGCGCGTGTGTGTGTGTGTGTGTGTGTAGACTTATATGTATATGTGTGTTCGTATGTATATATGTGACTTTAATGACGTCCCGCGACGCTTAACCGATGTATGCGATGTGTGAAACGGAAATCGACGTCTGCACTAGGATTGTGTAACTTTACTAATACGTGCATGTAGATGAAGGAGATTCTATGGTCCTATATCATTATTAGAATTGATCCTATATCATTATTAGAAACGCTACCTATTCCATTAGGAAAGTTAAATTACAATCTCTTACATCTCTTTATTATTGTACACAACAATATTTCTCATCAAATATCAAATATGTATCATATATGTAATATTATTTGAATGCATCAATAATTCGAACTTTGTTAAAGCATTGCTCTAATCATTCTTACGTGAGATTATAAAAATTTCTCTTACTAATCTTTTTTTTTTTTTTATAAAAATACGTAATAAAACAGAGATAATATTAAAAAATGTAGTAAAATTAAGTTAAATATAATTTGCGTCAAATTTAGAATATCCCACATTTGTAATTTTATGTATATATGTTTATACGTACAAATTTTAATATTTTTACATATATATTCTTCAAATACTTTTTTATATTGGCGCATAAAATTATAAATAAAATTCTATTTTGAATTCTGTGATACAAGTAGCTCTTCCAAAATGGGCTTCTATTTTTTTCAGTTTTATAAATTTTTAATCTCTAAAACAGCTTATGAAAGTAAAACAAACGTTGATCTTATGTGAGATTTAACAACAATGTACAAGTGCATATAACGAATACAAATAAATGCGATCGATACGCGAATGTACACCACGTGGCGCAGCAACGCTCAGTGAACTACAGTCTCGAGACACAGACTATCGATACTAATTGGCAGCCACGACTAGCGTGTTCAGTGCCAAATGTATCGGAACCATTATAACCCGGTAATGGTAGTAGAGGCCAATAATAATTGGAGCGATATGCAACTGACCGAACGACGCAACATGGTAGAAAGGTTCGCCGTAACGAGTATGACAAAATCGATCATAACCGTTCCGATTGATCAAATTAACAATACAGTAGTGATGTATGACATAAATAATAACAAGCATAATTCACGAAGGGGAACAAAATAATTTAGCGCGTTTAGAATGTCACGCGGTCTGATTACAGGCGCATATTGTGATATATATGGGCAAATAATGGGACTAATAGCAATATGTAACGATATCGAAACACAATGGAGAATTATCTTTCCGTTGCGTGCTATGCTATGCTAATCGTTCGCCATCGAATACGAAAACGAGACGAGTTCGCGCGCACGCGTCAACTACATTATTCTCCCACGTGCACAATTAGATTCGCCGGAGCACATCACGAGTAATGCTTGCGACACGAATAATTCTATCGATTTTGCTGTACCATTCGCCTTGATGTTAATCGATACGAATCCTCTCCGCAAATGCACCGTCCATTAGTGATCAAATTCTCGTACAACGTTTCATCTATATATACGTTCGTCATTCAGAATTTCCCTCAAGGAAACGTTCAGCTCTCGATAAGCTTCAAATACATTACGGACCAGCTCAGAATAAGATACATCCACAGCGCGTATTTTGTGTGAGAAACAATAAAGACATTATTCTCTTAAATACGGTTTATATACGTATAAAAAAAAAATTAATAAATGTAATTTATTCAAAAAAATGTACTCTCGAATAAAAGATGTCAAGCTTAATTCCTCTATGCACCGTTTAATCATTTAACGATCGTACTTACGTTCTATTGATCTAACGTTGTTAATCCACTTCCGAAATGCACCAGAATACGCAATAGCGTCGACCCGCTTACTTGCAAAATCTCAGTAGAGAACCCGCATTTTCAATCATCAACTCCGATCTCTTTCTTCAGTCAATTTGCAGTTCGATCAAGAGAAGTCTAGCCAAAAGCTCTATCCGATAATGTCACGACATGAAAAACCCTTCCGCCCAACCAGTGGTGCCTTTTCAACTTCACATCTAGTTTGTCGACCTTACCAACGCGCTGACTTTGTGAGCACTTTTCTTTCGAAGCAGTCTACTGCTTTGTTAAAGCAAACAACAATACAATTCGTTATTACGTACGCGATACCCAAGTCATTTACTATTCGATCGCCGCTTGTTTACATTAAACTCATATATAAGTAATAAATTTAATTGATATATATCTTATTGCAAAATATATATA